CCGGAGCCTGTGCTCCGCAGCGGGAGAGGCCGCAACAGTGAGAGGCCCGCGTACCCGCCCCCCCAAAAAAAGAAAAAAAAAAAGAAATGGGTGGTGTCCAAGTATGTCTACTAGGTGGGGTCAGTACCTTGGAGGCCCCTGGATAGTTGCAGAATCATTGGCGAGGTGATTGAGGGTCTGGTTATCAGAAGGAGATGTCCTCTCCTTGGGTTTGGGTCCCCCAGCCCGGCCCCTGCCTCCAGCTAAGAGCCTGCCTTTAAGAGGCTACACTGTGCCCAGTGAGGTCTGGGGAAGTAGATGGGGGGCAGTGCTCCACGTCTCCATCCAGGGGTCCAGGTCAGCTTGTCTGGCTAGACCGCTGGCAGGGAACCCACACTGGCTCTTGTGTTGCAGGGGCAGCCTCCTCCATCAAACCCTGCGACTGTGACCCCCAGGCAGGCCCAGTCTCTTGTCCCTGATGGGGTTCCCTCTGTGACGGCCTCCTCTCCTTTCCAGATGGGAAGCCAGTGGAGGTGGACCCTCATCACATCCTCATTGAAGACCCCGATGGCTCATGTGCCCTCATCCTGGACAACCTGACTGGTGTCGACTCTGGCCAGTACATGTGCTTTGCAGCCAGTGCTGCTGGCTATGCCAGCACCCTGGGCAAGGTCTTGGTGCAAGGTAAGCCCTGGGGGGAAGGCCAGAGTGTGAGCGCCCAGGCCCCACCCTCTGGGCATTGGAAGGGTATCAGCCCTCATGGGGGGGCACGGGCCTGTGGATGGAGCTGGCAGGGGGTGGGTGTGAGCATCTTACTGAGGTCAGGGGACTCGCTGGTGGGCGTGGGGTCCTGCGCCGTCATGGTGTCTCTCTCTGTCTCTGTCTCTCTATGTCTCTATCTGTCCATCTCTCTGCCTCCATCTCTTTTTTGTTTCTTTCTCTGTATTTCTGTATCCATTTCTGTGTCTCTCTCTTTCTATCTGTCTCTGTCTCTCTCTGTCTTTTTGTCTCCCTGTATCTCTGTTCCTCTGTCCGCATCTCTCTGTTTCTGTGTCTCTCTCTGTCTATCTCTTTCTCTCTATGTCTCTGTCTCTTTCTCCATCTCTCAGTCTTTGTCTCTCTCCCATCTCCCCACATTCCCTGGACCCTGCAGTCCCGCCTCGGTTTGTGAACAAGGTCCGGGCAGTGCCCTTTGTGGAAGGAGGAGATGCCCAGATCACCTGCACCATCAAAGGTGTCCCACACCCTCAGATCAGGTGGGCCAGGCAGCTTGGGGCCAGGGTGGAGGTGGGCAGGTGGGCCTGCCCTGGGGCCATCCTGCCTGCCTGAAAAATGAGGGTGGGCAGCCTGTTCGCTGGGTTGGGGTAGGCTGGACACAGAACCTCAGCCTTTCCGATGAGAAGTGGGCATGATGGGGCTGCAGCACGTTCTGAACACAGCTCTAGCTGCAGCAAGGAGGACAGAGGATGTTGGGTGGGTGGCATCCAAGAGGGATGTAAGGGATGTCCTCTGTAAGGACATCTGGATCTGCAGGGTGGTTGAGGGGAGGGTCCTGAGCATGGGGGACCTGGGGAGACCCCACCTGACCACCCCCGGGGTTGGCTTTAGGTGGTACAAGGATGGGGCCCTGCTGACCCCTGGGGGCAAATACCAGACGCTGAGTGAGCCCCGCAGCGGCCTGCTGGTGTTGGAGATCCGGGAAGCTGGCAAGGAGGACCTGGGCCTCTATGAGTGTGAGGTGAGGAGGGTGGGCCCAGGGGGAGGGGGCTGAGGGGACCTGTCTTGGGGATCCTGCCTGGTTACCACCATTTCTGACCACAATGAGAGAGGGGACAGCAGACCACTGTCACCCACCATCCATGACGAGGGGACACCAGGCCACTGTCACCCACTGCCCATGATGAGGGGACAGCAGGCCACTGTCACCCACTGTCCATGTTGAGAAGACAGGGACGGAGGAGGCGGGCCCTGGGTGGAGCCCCCTCAGTCCTCGTGGCCCGGGGGGAACTGGCAATGGTCTGGGGAAGGTGTGTGCTGGCTGTGGTTCTTCCTGGCTGCTAGCTACTGCTGCTGCCGGCAGCCTTCATGGGGGAAGTGTGGGGCCCACTCCCCCTGGCAACTCTCAGGGAAAAAATGGACCCATGTCAGCTCTGGACCTGTGCTGTCCATTTTGGTCACTGTTGTCCACACACAGTGATTTAAATTTAAATCAGTTAAAGTTAATCTAGGTGAAGATTCACTTCTAGTTCAAGTACTCAGAGCCCATGTGGCCACTACACTGGACAGAGCAGATAGTGTCCTCACCATCACAGGAAGCTCCTGGTCAGTGCTGGGGACACAGTGGCTTGCCCGCTACCCTTTTCCCTGTGGTCAGGCTCTGCAGCTCTAGGAACAGCCGTGGTGGGCCCCCCATGCTACAGCTGGCCTGTACGGCCTCCAAGAGACTGCCCAGGCCCCCTGGGGAGCCACGGGCTCTAAGTGAGCCTCTGCTGTCTGCCCTGCAGTTGGTAAACCGGCTGGGCTCCAAACGGGGCGGCGCGGAGCTGTTCATGCAGAGCCCGGCGCTGCAGGCCCGAGAACAGCACCACGTGGAGCAGCTCGCTGCCGTGGAAGGTGAGTGCTTCCTCTGCCAGTCTCGGCCTGGGCTGGACCTGCCATATGCCTGGGCAGCGCCAGGTGGGGTGAAACCATCAGCGCCTCTAATCAGAGCACACTTCCTGGATGAGGGGAAGCAAGGATGGAGGAGGGGATTCAGAGGTTGAGGGGCAAGCACTGGTTGCCAGTTCCTGACTGGAGCAGCATGTATGTGGGCCGGAGGAGGGTGGGCTGTGAGCCCAGAGCCTGGGGAAGGCTGGAGGGGCAGTCCAAGGGGGTGGGGGTGGGGGCCTAAGCCCTGCTCACCATCCCTGGGGGAATAACAAGTGCATATAAAGGCCAGACCTGGGTCCTGAGCAGCCTGCCAGGCAGTGGTCGGAGGGGTATTATAGGATGGGTGGCAGGGATGGTAAGAGGGATGGCTCCACAGAAGCAGGCTGCTGGATCCCAACTTGGCTCCTGGGAGAGGGAACAGGTGTCAGGGGCCTGATCCTTCCACACTGGGTGGGGCTGGCTGAGGAAAAGAGAGAATGCCGTGGTTTGGCCTCCCTGGCCTGGCCTGGGCCAGGCTGCGAGGGGTCTGGGCTGTAGAATGGGCCTCATTAGGGAGCAGTGTGCTCCCGGGCAGGAGGTGAAGGGTGGCAAGATGCCTCACTCCTCTACTCACGCTTGGCTCCAGGGTCCCAGCTGGGCCCAGCCCGGGGATGGCCCAGGGCAGGCAGCAGCCCCAGGGGGAGTTTCTCCCAGTCTGAATTGCCTCACCTGGAAGGGGCTGCCAGGACAGATGTTGAGCCTCCCATCCTCGGGGGCACGCAAGCAGAAGCTGCACCAAAAAAGCTGGTGGAGCTGCAGCTCTCACAGTAGGATGGGCTGCGAGATATGTGTACCTCCCAAGTCCTGAAAGTTGGCTTCTCTGATGCCTTGAGCCATCGGATCAATCCCTCCCAGGGCCCAACGTGCAGGGGCTGCTGTCTGTCTGGACCCTCACAGAGTCGGCCACCTGGCGCCAGGAGCTCAGCCTTGGGGCCTTTGACGCCCTCTAGGGACTCTTCCTTCCCTCGTGGGCAGGGATCCTGTTCCTCAAGCCCCAAAGGGCACTGGTCAAGCTGGTTCCCATCGGAGGGCCCCATGGCATCTGCTGGCACCTCTATCCTGCCCTGTGGCATCTTACGTCGGACAGAGCAGGGCTCAGCATGCACCTCAGCACACCCTTTCGACTGGTGACAAGCACGTCCTACAGAGCTGTTTACTTCATTGTCATGATGGGTCTCTGTCAAGGTCCCGTGAACGCAGGGTGTGGAGGACGGGTGGCCCACCTGTGCCGGAAATGGCCTTCGTGCCTCATGAGGAGAGGCCAGTCTTCACAAACCCTGGAATTGGAGCCCGCTGCCTCCTGCTTCCTAACCCTATCCTGCCGCTTCATCATTAACCTGGTGGTTCTGCAGCCAGAATGGGCCCTGGCTGGCCCTGTGGGGTGGGGTGCTGCCCTTTCGCTTGTGAAACTGCGCAGGGCCAGGAGCCGCGCTTTGCACAGCTGCACCCCTTCAACAGCCAGTACTCACTGGAGCCCAGAGCCCACCTGGTGGCAGGTTAGGTCAGGAATGAAGGTGCCAGGAATGTAGCAGCCCACAGGTGCCCTAGCCACCACCCCCAAAAGCAACAGAGTGAGGCCCCTGTCAGGGAGGGTGAGGCAAGGAGCCCTGGATCTCTCACTGCTTGGCCTACAGGCCACAAGTTGGTGCTCTCTGGGCCCAACTAAGTCTAAACACACAGGATATTTTGGCTGGATCCCATTCTCTCTTCCAGTGGACTCGCCTCTCTCCAGGAGGCAGCTTGCACAAGCACATACAGGCACACACACGTGTGCATGCAGACACACACATTAGCATGGACACACATATGCACACACACAAACACGCACAGTAAATGTGGCTCCCAAGTGCCATACAGACACAGCTAGTACATTTAATTCACGTTCCTCTAACTGGAGACAAGGTTAATATACTCACATTCATCTAAGGGAAGTTCTTTTTCTATGTGGCACTGCAACAGAGCAGAAAATCCCATCGACCAAGGGACTAGGAGGCTGTGTGCCCTAGGGCATGCCACTTGACTTTTCTTAGCCTCCCCCTCAATTTTCCCCACAGGATGGCGAGAGGGACTGTTGAGATGTATGGGTGCTGGTAGCTGGTGGGCTGCCTGCTATCCAGCTGGGCAAGGCTGGGAGAGGCATCTCTGTGCCAAGCCTCACCCTGTCCAAAAGCTACAGAGGAAGAGGCCTTGAGATGGTGGGGAGTAGTTGCTGCCAGGTCTCCAATGGGTCCCGCCCTGTCCCTGGGACGTGGGTCCCCTATCAGCAAAATGGGAACCACAGGCCGTATCCTGCTGGCTCCAGCGAGGAGGAAAGCTAGGAAAGTCAAGAGACAGTTGAATTTGTGGGGTGCTCCTATGGGAAGACCTAGGTTTCCCTGCTCACTCAGAGCTCAGGACCCTGCTCAGGCATCCTCAGGTCATTCCCAGAGGGAATTCTGTGGTCTCATGCCACAGGACTCAGATGTGCTACCTCTAGGACGCTGGAGTCATTCTGCCCTGGAGAGACGCCCTTTGGTCTTTAGATTTTTTTGTGAAACAGGCACCAGCCACCCCGGTCCCAGTTTGGCTATCAGCCACAGGCCATTCCTTTTCCCTATCTAGGCCTCGGTTTCTATGAAAAGTGGAACTTCAGGCCTGACAAATTCACAGGGCTCCCTGGGCACATAGGCTGAAGGAAGAGCTTGGATTTCTGTGCGGGCAGCCTAGACAGAGCCCTTATTCTCCTTGAAGCTCCTGCAAGAACCCCTCAAGAGGGATTCTTCCCTCACGTGGGACACACTGTTATCACAACTCCTCATTCCCTAGCCACTCAAGGCAGGCATTATCACCTCCATTTCAAAGATGAGGGACCTGGGACTCTAAGCTGAGACATTCCTACCAGGGCCACACAGTCAGGCAGGTTTTGGATCCAGTGCCCTAAGCTGAGCAGGTTACTACACTGCCACGCCACTCAGATAGCTCAGCCCCCGAACACCGGCTGATCTGTAACCCTCGCTATTCCGACTGTTTTCTTTGTAGTCACTGAGCAGGAGACTAAAGTCCCCAAGAAAACCGTCATCATGTAAGTGCAGGCGTGTTCCTAACCTTCCTTCTGACTGCAGTGCTCCCTGCATGCCCACTAACCTCCCTGGACCTTGCCTGTGTAGCTTGGCCCCTTGCTTGTCTGACTGCTTGCCCACATGGCCTTTGTTCACCATGCAGACTGCCAGCACCTTGCAGATACTCCCAGGGCATTCACCTCCCCCTGGGCCCTTGGCTACCTTCACACTTCAAAGCTGTCTCTTCCAGGGTCTAAGTACCCTTTTCATGGCCCTGTTGCCTCAGCAGGGTAGACTTACTCTGTGTACGTCACAGTGGCTCACCCAGGGCTTGGACCCAGAATCATGCCAGTTAGGGGGGAGCAGGGACTGAAAGCTGCTTCCCCCAGTGTACTAGAGGCAGAATGCTACCCTAGGATACCCTAGGGCATTGTCCAACGGAACTTTCTGTGATGATGGAAATAATCTATATTTACACAGCCCACTACAGCAGCTACTAGCCGCATGTGGCTATTTGTCTAGTGTGACTGAAGAACTAGATTTTTAAATTTATTCGATTTTCAACAATTTGAAGTTAATTAAAATAGCATAACCATAGTGAACAGCACAGCTCTAGGGCCCTTAGAGGTCTCCAAACTCAGCCCTCACACTAGGAAGATGGGGACACTGAGGTTCAGGGAAGAGAGGAGGCTTGCTGAGGGTGGCTCACAATTGGAAGCCAGCCGAGAACTCATTTCCTCAGTGCCACACCCACTGTCCCATTCTCCACCCTTCAGTGCCTTCAAGGCTGAGGAAAAGCCACGCATGTTGTTGATAATTAAATAATACAAGAGGTCCAGAGCTAGGTGAACCCACAGAAGGCGGGACTGGTTTTGACCTGGATAATCTGGAAGGACTTCCAGTAGGAGATGTGTGAAGCAGATGGGTGGAAGAGCTTGTAAAATCCAGGAGGAAGAAAGACTGTGATTTCCTAAAGCCAGGGCACTGGGAGGCTCCAGGATGGGGAACCTCTTAATTCCCCATAGGCATAAGACCTCCTATAGGTGCCTGCAGGTGGTGAAATTGCTGGAGAATCCCGTCTTGATAAGCTCCTGGGTTAACCCTCCGTGACTTTCTCCCTTCTCCCCCAAAGCAGATTGCCACCTCACAATAGATGGGTGTGCCTGGGGCAGAAGTAAGTCCCATCCCTGGAGGTATGCAACCATGCCAGAGCTTTACACAGATCACCTCTACATTTCATCTATGAGGGGAGCATTGTTATTTACATTTTACGGAAGACAAAATGAACGAGCAGAGATGGGGCCAGGCAGCCCCACTGAGGAGGCATTAGGGTGTCCTCGTGCTTATGGGAGGCTGGACTAGGTAACTCCCAAGGCATCCTGAAGTCCAGTCTATTCCAGGCTTAGGGAGGTAGCAACCCTCACCCTGCAAGGAAGCGTGTACCCCTTTATCTTGAGGAATGGAGAGAGGCAACTGCCTGGCGCAGCATCCCAGCAAGGGCACTCCACACATTGTGCCTGTGGCACAGTGAGGGGCTCTAGGGAGCCAAGGGGTACCAGAAGGAAACGGGAGAGAGACCCCCTGCCACCTGGCAGCCTCAAGTACTGTGCCAGTGGCCTCAGAGCAGGGTGCCTACATGCCCTCGTGGGGGCAGCAGTGAGCCGAGCATGGGGGTGCATTTAGGAGGAGTGATCCAGCTGTCCAGTTCCACTGGACTCACTGTCTTGGCTCAGCAAATCAGGCAGTGTGAGGCCAGCAGATGGGGCCTTGCCCAGGTTTGGGCAGTCTCTGACCCAGGGACAAGCCTAGTGCCACTGAGTCTTGAGTGAAGCAGGAAGGCAGGCCTGTGGCCCTGAGTAGGCCACGTCTCCACGCCTCAGCTTCCCCATGAGTTAAGGGGGCATGGCATTTCCCCTTTACCGGGTGAGGGTCGGAGGAGGCAGGATCTGTACTTGCTATGTACCCCAAGGTGTGGCCACACATCTCTGGGCCCATGCCTGGGAGTAACTTCTCCTGTATGGAGCTGTGAGTTAGACAAAAGCAAAGCTGAACAAGAGACAGACAGAGTCCTAGTCATTGCAGGCAGCTGGTGACAGCACTGAGTTGTCACCATATGCATGCCAGGTCCCTCTGCCTGAGCCTGAGAGGAAATGCAGGTCCTGGGGCCCAGGAGAGCTGTGTGTTACTAAATGTGTTCCTGCTCCCTGCCTATGACTCATTGCACCCTCAGCGCCTGGCAAGGTCAGGCGTACTGGTTGGCATAGGAAGGCCTGGGCTGACTGGTGGGCTTCTGACTCTTGGCTCTGGGCAAGTTTCGAGCCCTTTTCAGCCTTGTCTGCACCTATAAAAGGGGGTCAGACCCATCCACCAGAATTGCTGCAAGGTCCCTGGCCAGCGCCCCATGCACACTCACGTGCAAACGGACTTGAGTTCTATCTCCTTTTCCCCTTCCATCCCCCTCCTGTTTTGGGAAATGGAGCCCAAAAGGGAGGCGGACTTGTCTGAGGTCACACAGCCCATGACTGGCCAAGCCATGCCTAGAGCCAGGTGTCCTTGCCGGGCCTCACATCCCCAGACCTGGAGGCCATGAGCACAGGCCACAGGTCAAGACTGACATTCCTCCTGCGCCTGCGGCATCAGCTGCCCAGCCTGTCCCTAAGCGAGGATCACTGAGGCACCTGCCGTCTGAGAGCCCCTGTAACCCCCACCACCCTCCTGCCATGTTACAAAGCACAAAGCACTGATGGGATCAACAAGGAGGGCTGTGTGGCTTGCACCCCTTCATTAGCTCTGTAAGGAGGGCTGGTGTCTCCAAAATGAGACAGCCATAAACTAGGAGGGGAGATTGACACATGACGTTACAAACCAGTCTGGGGTTTGGAGGTACCCGTGTGATGTAGCATGGGCCTCCCCTGATGCCTCAACCCTCATTTTGAGATGTGTACACTAGAGCCTGAGGTTGGCCATATGAGACTCTGTGCTTTGTTTCTTTGGTTCTCTGGATGGGGATCTGGAGATCCAGCTTAAGCCCACGTGTAGGAGTTAGTTTATGCAATTTCGCCGCTTGCTTGCTTGTACATTAACCTGATCTCTCTCGCTGGCCCCTGAATGTGCTGGTGGCAAGAGCACTGGGTGAGGCTGTGGGTCTCTGTGCCTATCTCCTCTCGGCCCTCTCCCCACAGAGAGGAGACGATTACCACTGTGGTGAAGAGCCCCCGTGGCCGACGCCAGTCCCCCAGCAAGTCTCCCTCCCACTCCTATCACCCTGCCAACCTGCCCAAGCCAGGCCTGTTGGCCCCTGAGCTGCTGCCCACGCCAGGAGCCAGCCAATCCCACAGGCCCGAGGCAGAGCCAGGCTGGAGGCCCACTGTGCCCACTCTGTACGTGACGCAGCCCGAGGCCCACATGTCAGCCCTGCCTGGGGACACTGGGCCCCAGCCCAGATGGGTGGAGGTCGAGGAGACCATTGAAGTTCGGCTGAAGAAGACTGGCTCGACGGGCGCGTCTCTGGCCAGAGAGACGCCTGGCAGCTCGGAGGGGCTCCTCTCCACACTGCCTGGCAGGATGCCTGGAGGAGGCCCCAATACAAACAACTCCAACAACAAGCTGTTGACCCAGGAGCCCCCAGCCATGGCCAGTGTTGGCGAGCCCCTAATCTCCCACGTGGAAAGGGGGCCAGAGACCCCTGAGCTTTCCCTTCCCTGGGCTGCTGACGAGGAGGCACCCCTGGAGGAGACAGAGGAAAGAGGTACCTACCAGATAGAAGAGCCCCTGAGTGCCGATGGTCTTCAGGGCCGGGACCCCAAGATCCTCACACACAACGGCCGTGCACTCACACTGGCTGACCTGGAGGATTACGTGCCCCAGGAAGGGGAGACCTTTGGCTGCAGCGGCCCCATGCCCAGTGCTTCCGATGACCCGCCCTGCGAAATCTCAGTGCTTCAGAGAGAGATCAGCGAGCCCACCGTGGGGCAGCCCGTCCTGCTCAACGTGGGGCTCCCGCCAGGTTCCCGAACCTCCCCTGGCTTCTTCACACGCATGCCCAGCTCCCGGGAGGCGTCTCCATCAGGGTCGCAGGACCTTGGCCCCAGGGGCATCTCCTTCTGCTTTCAGGAGGCCCGGGCTGGAGGTACCAAGTCCCGGAAGCCGTCCTTCTGCACTCAGGTTCAGCGCTCTGTGGACAGTGGCCAGAGCAGCTTCAAAACGGAGGTTTCCACTCAGACGGTCAGCTTTGGGACAGTGGGGGAGACTGTCACCCTGCACATTTGCCCGGATGGGGACGTGGACCCTAGCCCCTCCCAGGGCTGAGACCAGGACCATCAGGAGCTGGGTGGCTAGGATTGAGATGAGAGACTCTTGGGGCTGGGACACCCCTGACTAAGCTGCCATGGTTGCATGGGGCAGCAGAAAGAGGCAAATGGCTTTGGGGCCGAGGACCCTGCCTGGCACCAGCATCAACTCACCTCACAGCTGCCCTGGGTTTTCAACTCAGGAGAGAGTCCCAGAGCTGGCACCCCTCGGACACGTGTGCTCTGACCCTGCCCTGGCTCTCCAACAACTCAGGACACCTCCCTCCCCTTCCTCCCTGGGTGCTTCCTACCTCACAGGACTCGGTCTTCAGCTGAGGACATTGCACACATCTGTGATCTCAGAGTGTACCGAAGCTGCTCTGAGAGCACTGGCCGGAGTGACTCGCAGACTGCAGCTCTGGGTTCGGGGGCTCCAGACACAGGGCAGGCACTTGGGCATCTTTCCTGCTCCGTTCATGAGGCAGTGGCTGCCACATGGGCCTTGTCTGCCCCAGCTTAGGCCCCCGTCCCAGTGGCCAGGCCTGGCACAGCCCTGCCTCTCACCCAGGCTGGGGGTTCCAGCCTCCCTCTCGATAGGGGGCTTCCCCCAAGCCACATCTTACCCGTGAACGTTTTTTCTTGGCCTCCAGGAGGCCTGTGTGGGGCCCAGCTCTACAGACCCTCCTAGGCCTTTTCTACAGGGTGGACCAGGGTCTCTGTGTGGGAAGCAGCCCCCGTCAGTCGGCCCTGATGATGCTAATAAACTGGTTCCTTGCACTATCTTTGCTCTGCTCTTTTTTGCTTCTCCACCTGGTGACTCCGATGACTCGGGAGGGAGGGGCCCTCCTGGCCTGGCCCTGGAGACCAACCAGTGGACAGCCCAGGCCCTTTCCATTGACAGCCCTGGGTGGGCCCTCAGCATCGACCTGTGGGTCCTGGCTAGTCCTGGGGATCCTGGGTGGAGACGAGATATTTCGCCTGGCCAGCTTGCTCACATGTGGGCTAAGGGGCTGGTGACAGGTGCACACAGTGTGGCTGGGGCAGCGCATAGTGGTTGCTCCTGCTGGGGGCCTCCTGTGCAGCTGGGTCCTTTGTCAGGACAGACATGGGGGTGTGATGTGTCAGGGGTCCTGATGACCTCCTTGGAGTGGGGAAGGACAGGATGGTTGCCCCAACGCCATAGAGGGCAAACAGATGACAGCCTACCCAGTTGCCTCTTCAGCCTGGTGGGCCCTAGGATACAGAAGATCAACAGGAGAGAGGCTCTGGGGCAGGGGAGAGCTCCATAAAGGGGGACCTTCTAGAAATGGAGTGGTGGGCATCTCTGAATGGCCACACAGGGGCTGGCAGCCAGGTGGAGGAGGGAGCTGCACTGAAGGCTGAGGGCAGGAAGCTGAGACACAGGAGGGTCTGAAGGTTCCCGGGGCTGGCACCAGGTGAGAGTGTAATGGTCTGGGTCAGGCCAGGCTGCAGGTGGAAGGGAGAACGCTGCTGGGTGGAGGACAGGGGCTGCCCTGGGAGGGCAGGAATGGAGCCTACCCTCTGTGGAGTTCATGGCTCCTAATTTGGCATCTGGCTGTCCCTAGCTTCCCTAGACTGTGGGGCTGGGTCCACTTAAGCCTGGGTGACCCAGTACCCTATGATCCAGAGTGGGCTACAGAGCAAGGCCAGCCCCAGGATGAAGGGATGAGACTAGCTGAGACTGAGGGGCCACCCAGAGTGATGGGTGGGAGTCCAGGCCCAGCTGCCCCTATAGGAACTGACATTCTTGTGAGGGCATGTATGTAACACCCTGCGGGTGGACCAGTCCTGAGCTTGCTGCCTATAGTGCCATCTCCCCTGGCACAGTCTCTGGATCCCTTCTTCTCTCAGGGGCCTCCACCTTCGGCCCTTCCTGCACCCAATGTGTGGCTGGAGCAGGAAGGTGGGAAGGGTGGCCTGGGGTTGGCTCATCTGGGCAGTATCCCACTCCCCGGGCTCAGGCCAACCCTCACTCCTATGCGTGGACCTGCCTCTCCTACAGATGCTGCCATCGCACCCCCAGGTGCCCTGGGGCAAGTGGACCAGGAGAGCACATCCATCCAGAGGACACTGATGTGCCCTGAGGCTCCGGGACCCACCACAAGGGAACATACCAGCCCCGGCCCCAGACCTGGGGGGCCACCCGAACTCCAGGAGGCCGGCCAGAATCCCCCAGGAGTGGAGGCTGGGGATGCATCCAGTGAGGCCTGGCAGCAGGCTGAAGGCAAAGTACCACCTGCTTCCAGGACCACCCCCCCCACACCTAACCTCCCCTCCGTTCTGACACCAACCTTGGTTAATTTGGGTGCCCATCCCATGGGGGTGAACTAGCAGAGCCTGGGGACCCCCAACGTTCTGATGGCTCCACATGTTGGGGACCCTGGACAAGGCCCACCCCTCACTCAGCCTGTGAAACCAGAGGAGTGGATGGGATCTGGGAGGTCCTTCCCACCCTGAGCATGTCTGTCCCAGGAGCCAGAGGCCTCCTGTGGTCAGCCCTCAGGGGACAGCTTGGGTACCCTGTGCTCCTGGGAAGGTGAGGAGGAAGAGGGAACAGAGAGTGAGAGGAGGAGGAGGGGAGAGATTAGGGAAAG